TCAGAGCCTCTTACTCTTCTTCCAGTGCTTATTCCACTAGATTTCCCCAGAAAAACTTTTTTTGACTAATTCCGTCAGTCTCAATTCATAGAGCTATGAGGACCTCCTCCCCTCAACTGTTTTCTTTTTTTTTTTTTTTGTAGTATGCGGGCCTCTCACTGTCGTGGCCCCTCCCGTTGTGGTGGAGCACAGGCTCCGGACGCGCAGGTTCAGCGGCCATGGCTCACGGGCCCAGCCGCTTTGTGGCACGTGGGATCTTCCTGGACCGGGGCACGAACCCGTGTCCCCTGCATCGGCAGGCGGACTCTCAACCACTGCGCCACCAGGGAAGCCCTCCTCAACTGTTTTCTTTTCTCCTTTTCTGAGTCTTGAGTCTTAACACTAACGTATATGAATACTTTTATCCCAGTGTAGAAAGCTGAGAAGCTGATTTGAGCTTTCAGTCTTTGTATTTATGCTCCCACACAATTTGGGTCTTTTCTTTCTTTTTTTTTTTTTTTTTTTTTTTTTAAGAGTAGATGCTTCTTGAGTCAGGGATAATTTCTGGGGCTTTGGTTGGAATCATCTAGTCAAGAGCAGTTCTCTGCACAGAGCCTTCAATAAATATTAACTGACTCATGGTGACAAAGTAAACGAAGATGCACTTATGGTTGGTAGAAAAAACAACACTTTGTCCTCTTCTCTACTTTTTCTACATATTGAAACCCTCATTCCTTAGGTTATTCTTTTTTCCAAGTTATAATAGTTATTTTCTAGGAATCTACCCTTAGGCAATATATTTCACAGCTTAGGTACTTTCTTCAGATGTTGGAAATTATTGGACATGTAAAAACATATATGACCCTGATCTGGTTAAAAAGCCTAATATAATAAGAAATCCTTCATTCTGCCCAATACAAATGCATATTAATTTTGTATTATGTGCAAATATTTAGTCATGGGTCCATGTACACATACATCCATTAAGCAGTCAAATACTAAATTAAAAATGGCAAGCTGAAAAAAATTCTGAGTGCAAAGGTGTGATTGCTTTGAAAATAGCCAATTTAGAAAAGAGTTCAGCCTTTAATTGGCCAAGTTAAATAAGGCACAATTACCACTAACTTGGTCCCCAAAGATTGGCTCTAATCGTGTCATGTTTAACTTGGCTGGTTAAATTGCAAATAGTGTTCTCCTTTTCTGATTTGGTTCATTTCCCTAATAGAATGCCTTTCTATGGCTGACGTTTTCTTTCCTGACAGCTCTTTCTGTGAATGGAAACTCCATGGATTAGGAGTACCTATTTTTTTTTTCCAGAAAAACAGCAAAATGTATGTATGGTGGTGGTTGTTTTTTAAAGAGTTTCTGATACAACTTTATGAGTGTGTAGTTGTACAAATGTCAAAACTTCATCAAATTCATATGCATATGTCAAAGCTCCTCATAAACCTATCTCAAAATACACTTGCAGATTTTTGTTTTGCTTTATGTTCACAGGTGAGGAAGAAGAATGTTCTTTTTGTACTAAGTTTATCCTCCTCTGTTACTGAGAGATGAGTAGTTTAACTTATACATTTAATGTTCAATTAGCCAGCTCAAGGATTCCACACAGATCCACAAGGGCACAGGGAGGGATGGTTAAATATTTATCTCAATTTTTAAGAGCATCAGAATTCAGAGAAGGCCAATGTCTTTGTTCAGAATGGTCAGTTTCATGCAGAGCAGATTAAAAGGGCATCTCATTTCATATATAATACCATGGAATGCATCAACCTAAAGAAAAAAAGGAAATCTTTTTCTCTGGTAGAGAAACATATATATGCGTGCATTAAGCATTCGTTCATTTACTTAAAAACAATAAACATTTAAGGAGTGATAACAATGTGCTTGGTTCTATATTAAGCACTAGACATGCGGAAATTGGTAAGACACAATCTTTGCCTTTAAGAAGCCTATACGTTTTTACTGGGTTATTTGCAAGTGAGCAAGTCAAGAACAAAATGGTTTCAGATTCCAAATGTTAGCTCTTTACACCTCTTTTTTTTTTTCTTATTAGTTATCTATTTTATACATAGTAGTGTATATATGTCAATCCCAATCTCCCAATTCATCTCACTCCCTGCCCCCGCTTTCCCCCCTTGGTGTCCATACATTTGTTCCCTACATCTGTGTTTCTATTTCTGCCTTGCAAACCGGTTCATCTGTACCATTTTTCCAGATCCCACATACATGCGTTAATATAGGATACTTGTTTTTCTCTTTCTGCCTTACATCACTCTGTATGACAGTCTCTAGGTCCATCCAGTCTCTACAAATGACTCAATTTCGTTCCTTTTTATGGCTAATATTCCATTGTATATATGCACCATGTCTTCTTTATCCATTCATCTGTCATTGGACATTTAGGTTGCTTCCATGTCCTGGCTATTGTAAATAGTGCTGCAGTGAACATTGGGGTGCATGTGTCTTTTTGAATTATGGTTTTCTCTGGGTATGTGCCCAGTAGTGCGATTTCTGGGTCGTATGGTAGTTCTATTTTTAGTTTTTTAAGGAACCTCCATACTGTTCTCCATGGTGGTTGTATCAATTTACATTCCCACCAACAGTGCAAGAGGGTTCCCTTTTCTCCACACCCTCTCCAGCATTTATTGTTTGTAGATTTTTTGATGATGGCCATTCTGACCAGTATGAGGTGGTACCTCATTGTAGTTTTGACTTGCATTTCTCTAATAATTCGTGATGTTGAACAGCTCTTCATGCGCCGCTTGGCCGTCTGTCTTTATGCCTCTTTTTTTTTTTTTTTTTTTGCGGTACGCGGGCCTCTCACTGTTGTGGCCTCTCCCATTGCGGACCACAAGCTCCGGACGCGCAGGCTCAGCGGCCATGGCTCACGGGCCCAGCCGCTCCGCGGCATGTGGGATCCTCCCGGACCGGGGCACGAACCCGTGTCCCCTGCATCGGCAGGCGGACTCTCAACCACTGCGCCACCAGGGAAGCCCTTCATGCCTCTTTTTAACGCAGAACATTGCTTAGTTTGTCTTCAGCATCCCTCCCTTCGTGTCCCACCCAGTCCTGTTTGGCACCCCTCCTCAGTAACATCCCTCTCTCCCCTCAGCTTCCACGGCTCTCACGGGCTCTCCAACATCAAACCGAACTCTTAGGAAAGAGCTAATTAGTCTATCTTGTTACGGCAAATCATCTAATAAGAACTCTGTACTATCTGTCGCATGGTTGTTTGCCTTGAGGCAGAGCCAACAAAACCATATGTTTATGAAAAAAAGATAATTTTCAGATACCTTCAGGTATATTATTTACCTAAGAATAAGCTACACACACCAAGGCATTTTTATCTGAATTTGCAGCTTCAGTCCTAACACTTTCCACATTTTCTATTCCACCAAGTGAGGATGTGCTTTCAGGATAAAAAGTGTGTTGGGGGTGTGGAAGGATGGATGGGGGACGCCCACAATATCCCACCCAGCCTTACAGATGGGCATAGGGATGGTCCGGTCTGCACATTTATTATCAAAAGTAATATCCTGATGTGGCTTTATCTGATGTGTTCTTTCGGAAGGATCCAGGCTTGTGGCCTCAACTAATAAATTCTCTGCATTAACATAGCGCTCTGTTGTAAAGTTTGGATTTTCAGTAACACATAAAAGATAAAATGAATCTGTATATAAAATGTCTGTTAGCCTTGTTGATCATTCAACGCACAAGCAAGTAAGTGAACAAATAAAAACCCACCACTGCGTAATGTAATGGAGCCTGTGGACTAAAGAGCCCAAAGTTACCAAAGTCTCAGTAATATAGACCCTATACCATAAAGAATAATTTACAATTAAAATATAATGTTTTCTTCTTGGATTCAGGAGAAAGTATCTACAGGACATGCTGATGTGTGTGACAGGAATGTCTGACACCACAGACATTTTTTGTTGTTTTTTAAACAAAATCTTACCAATAGGTAAGTAGGTAAAGAGGGAAGTAATCTTGTCAAAGTTAGAGGATGCCCCGTCCCTATCCGTACAACCACACATGCACACATGAGCAACACACGTGCGCACTCACATGAGCACACATCTGCACTGTGACCCTTGAGGAGGCTTCACAGAGCGTAGTCAGAACATCTCTGCTTATATTTACCCTAACAGAGCCTGAAGCCATAATAGTTGGGCTTGGCTTGGTGCCTAAACTGTAAATTTGTAATTAGTTCCAGAAAAACAAATGCTACTCAAATCAAGAATGAGCTTGGGAGAGAGGGAGGAATCTGATGTGGAATGTCTGCCTGTTCCTATGAAATCATCTGTGAAATACGGGGAATCTTGAGTCCTGGGTTTTAGCCTGGGCTACGAACGAACCTGATTACCTTGAATAAGTTACTGAGGCTCTCTGCCCTCCAGTTTTCTCCTATCTGTAATGAAGAATCGCAGTAAAACATTTCTGTCTACCATCCTTCATGCAGATGCTGCATGCTGCATATGGAGAAAAATACATTCCAGAAACAAATGCTAGGATGCCTAAACATTCTTTCCCATGAACATTCAGTTCTTTGGGCAATAAATAAAAGAAAACAAGATTATTCTGCTAAATACAGCCTGTCATTTCAGATGACTCTGACCCATCTTTCATCAAGCATACCCTTCCGATGGTGGAACAAATTCTTGGATTTAGAAGGAACAGACAACATGATGCTTCAACATCATCAAATGTCTTAACTCAACATCCATGTAGTAAAGGGATCTAGGAGTGGAACTAACCACAGTCTGATGCTACAAGGGCTGGCCAATCACTGCATGCATGGGACTTGATCCAATCCTTTTTCTGGATTTCCAAGTGACTCAACCGTACACCATGAGCTAAGGCATCATTGGACAAGAGGAATGTGCCACTGGGTGGACCGAAGCCAGGTGGTGATAATTTAGGGCTCCATGTACATGTTCAAACATTCATGACACGATGACGCAAAACAACTGTGAAGCACAGACTCCTTGGAAAGGCCACAAAACATACTCACTTACCTTCTGCCTGAAGTGATCTTGTCCGACTCCTGTTGGAACTCTTCCCCTTCCACGCTCCTTTGGCTGCTACCTTTTCACTCAGACCTTTATTCTCCCCTAGTAGAAACAAAATGTTCAAACTTGTAATTTTGTCCTCACAGAAAATATTGACTCTATATTCTGAATGAAAACAAAATCCATATTAAAAACACATAGTCAACAGGCACGTTGAAACATGCTTCGAGATGATTCCAAGTATGTTCATATACAGTCGGACTCATTCTCAACTAGACCACCCCTTTTGGGAAAGATCTTTTGGGATATCCTATTACAACAGTTCTGTTACTATTAGCTTCTGGAATTATTTGGAAATCATTCCGCCTTATTTAGCTTGGCTAATTGAAATTTTATGTATAGGATTAAGACAATTTCACCTTGGTTTTTATAGGTTGTATAGGTTCAAGTGAATAATCAGGGCAGTTCATGAAATTCAAGATCATGTTCTGTCTGAAGAAAGAAGGAAAACATAGGGCTTTCTTTTCTTAAAACAACAGAGAGACCAATCATTCATTTATTCAACATTTATCTAGTGACTATGTGTCAGGCATCGTTCTAGGCACTGAGTAGCCAGAAAGGAGTAAAACAATCTACTTTTGTGAATCTTCTCTGTAAGGATACTCTGGGGACTGGCAACGTGTGGTAGAGAAGGATAGATTTGCAAAGTTATATTTAGCCGTGCCGTCTGCAGGTTTTAGTGCCACTGCAATTGTATGTAATGGAAACGAGAACCCTTGATATTTTATCAGAAATTACTGATACAACAAAAATAGGCCAGAAATAGAATAAGTGGAGAAAATTGTCTAGATTTAATAAATTCCTATAATATTAGTTATTTTTACACTGCAAATTTTCTCCTGAACTTACTTTTGTGTGACAAAGAAATGTTATCTAATAAAATAGTCAAATTGAAGCTATATGCCCTAAGAAACAGAATGACAGAATAGAAAAGGCAATAGATTTTTCTTTTAGTTCTGGACATGAAGAATTATCCCTGAACCTCAGTAAGCCTCAGTTTTTCCCTCAGTAAAATTGAAGAAAGAGATTGGTATTCCACCTTGGAATTAAGTAGCATTTATAATTATTGTATTCTTCTTCAGGACAGGCTAAATTTGTGAGAGCAGAGACCATGTCTGTCTGTTCCCCCATGTTATCCCAAGTTACAAAGCCTATGAGGCATTCAGAAATATTTGTTGAAAGACAGTACACATTTGTTAAAGACTGTTGTGAGGGTGACATGAGAAAACATATGACAGATTATTTGAACACTGTGAAATATTTTTAAGTTAAACTCACTTTGTTTCCTGCTTTCTTGATATTTTTGCAGTTTGGATAAATGCTTGACCTCTCTCTGGGGATAACCAAGTTGCTTACCAGGAAAACCTTGGTCCCAAACTTTGAGAACAAAATCTAGCTTACTAGCTAGCTACACTAGCAGTTTTTCCATTTTGCCCTGAGATGATCTATCATTCCCCAGGGCTTTCAAAACAAGGTTTCAAAGTGAAACTTCATCACAGTCTCTGAAAGCATCTTCTTCTATTGGCACCAAGATAGGATTTTATGATGTCCAGCGGTTCAGATGCATACCCCAGCAGCGTTCTGAGCCAGGCTTTGAAACAAGCCATCTTTCTGTAATAAATGGTCAGGATAGAGATCCACACGAACGCAAATCAAGAAAAGATTTGGGCAACGTCCTGAGAACGCATCACAGTAAGTCATGTAGCATTAATCATCCATCAGCCCCACCCTGTTGCTCCTTAGGAGGAACCCAATTCTTTCCCAGCATTTCTTCACACAAGTCCACTGCAGTTGGCTACCTCCAGTGGGGTGTCTGTCCCCATCCCCCACCATCCTCCTGGGCAGAGGACCCTGCTAGCCCTCACTCACAGCTCTAAGTGAGCTCAGCATTTCAAGGAAAAGCATTTTCTTGAAAGGTCCCTTCAAAACAATGGCCCTCATAAATTCCCTGTGACATCTCTGGCCCCTTGGTATCTTCCTTCTACTTTCCAAAGTAGATGGCATGTCACGTGCATGGTGTGTGAGCCCCTCGTCTCTGCTATAGACCAAGCAGCCCCCAGCCATAGGCTTCACCTCATGACTTAGCAGGTTCCCAGACTCGACCATCCCTCCAACTCCCTTCGGTGCCACCCAATGCCATCTCAAGCCAAATCTCGTCCAGACGGTGACCCGCTGAAGCTCTCATCATGGGTATCTGAGGGCTGGCTCCTGGCAGTTCTGCATCACTGCCCAAATCAATCCATGTAGAACAGTGGCATGATGACCACACCGTCTGGCATCACGTCTGAAGTGTTCCATTTATTTCCCTTCAGGGACATCAATGTATATTTTTTCCTACCTTCAATGAATGCCCTATTGAAAACCCTAAGGAGAGACAGCTAACTGTGAAGGACATTTACCATCAGCACATAAGTTCCAAGGTTTTACGATGTGTCTGACAGAATCAGACACAGATACTTTACCCTGGGCACTTATAATTTCCCGGAAAACCCGCATTGTTCTGCCCACACCTGGTGCCCTACTAAGTGCTGCTGACCAGTGACTGGACCCAGATGTACACTGAACCGTTGCTGTTTAGTTTCCTTCTCTCTTTCTGGAGGTGAAGGATTTGCTGGGACCAAATCCCCAGGGGAGCAAATTTGGGTGCTGAGTAATAAGGCTGAGATGGGCTCCCAGGGAAGTCTTGTGTAGGGAGCCATTCTCAGTGTGTGTGTGTGTGTGTGTGTGTGTGTGTGTGTGTGTGTGTGTAGGGGACCGGGGATATTGTGAAGTCTAGTAGGGCAAGATTAATTCTTTTGAAGTACCAAGAAACCCAGGAGAACATACATCTGATAGTAATGATGAGGAAGAAAAGCTCTTTAAAACATTTCTAAAGGTTGTTCCTGGAAAGGAAGGAAAAGCTAAGATGTTCCCCCACTTCCCTCTCACCTCCTTTCCTCAGTGTTATATTTAGATCCTTACTGGAGCAGAGTTCCTCCTCCCATCCAGCAGCCCAGGGCAGCCCCCTGTCGCCATGGTGGCAGAAGATGCCAGGACAACATCTGGCTTCCTGAGCTAGACTGCAGATGCCCCAGCCCCACACAGACCAGCAGAGGCTGCGTCCCAGGGGGCTGTCCACATGGGCACCATGGGAAGGCCTGGATGTGGGGGCCTTCACAGCCTGGGACAAGGCCAGGGCTGACAAACGCCAAGCAGCTGGAAGAGGAACAAGTGGGACTTGGGAAAGGGATGGAGTAAGCTTCAGAAGAAAGTCGAAGCTGACACTTTGCTGGCACAAAATGACATTTTATCAGCTATTGGGAAAATGGGCCACAAGCGCTTGGTCCTAAGGGATTTGAGTGGTATTTATTTTTATTTTAAAATAATTCCAGACTTAGAGAAAAGTTGAAATAGAACAAAAAATTCCCATGATAGCTTCACCCAGATTCCCCAAATGTTAACATTTGCCTTTACCACATTTCCTTTGGCATTCTCTCTAGATGGACGGGTATGCAGATATATAGATATAGATATGGATATATTGATATAATTTTCTTTCTGAACTAAGTTGAAGTTATTATGTCCTTTTGCCCCCAAATCATTCAGATAATATTATCTAGTTGATAGACCTTATCCTAATAATGTCCTTCATAGCAAAATAATTTTTTTTCTGGTTCAGGGTTCAGTCCAGGATCATGCTGCATTTAACTGTCTCACCTCTTTAGTCTCCTTTAAACTAGAATCACTCTAGAGTCTTTCTTTGTCTTTTACGAACTTGAAATTTTTGCAGAATGTTCCTCCATTTGGATTTGTCTCACGTTTCCCAGGTTTAGATTCAGATTATGTACTTTTGGCAGGAATGTCACAGAAGAGATGTGTCCCCCTCACCCATTGTATCAGGAGGCAAGTGAACCTGATTGGTTCCATTAGCAGTGAGGCTGACTTTGATCACTTGGCTAAAGTTCAGTCTTCTCGGTTTCTCCACTAAAAAGTTACTGTTTCCCTCTTTGTAATTAAAAATAATCTTGTGGGGAGATACTTTACAATTAAGTCAATATCCTGTTTGTCATCAAGCTTTCACTGGCCAGGTTTAGTAGCATCCATTGATGTTCCCTACCTGAATCAATTGTCATTGTGATGTTTGCCAAATGATAATTTTCTAATTTCGCCATTCCTTCTACATTTATTAGTTGGCATTCCACCTCCCTTTCCCCCTTATTTTTAAATAAAATTTATTTATATCAGTTTGGCCTCATGGATTCTTATTTTATTTAATGGATAATCATCTATTAGTGTGAAATTTATTTTTAAATAGTGACAGTGATACACCGGGATCTGATGGGCCGTACGGTAGTGTTGCTTGACTTTTTCAGTGGTCCCTGGGATATATTTTCTTCTAGAGTCCTGGGAAATGGAACTTGCTGTTCATGAGTTGTTGGTTTGGATTGTGGTCAGTAAAGAAAACTGACCTGGGGCCAACACAACTGCCCAGTCTGCAGTTATTCATTGTGGGTGGTGTTAAGAAATAATCTCCCTCCCAGAGGGCCAGTATTTGGGGCCTTTGCAGGGTTACTGTGACCAGTGGAAGGAACTTGGACACACAGGAGTTGGATGGTATGCTGGCCAACTTGAAGGCAATGAAGATCAACTCAACTAATTTTGGAATTCATCCGCCCTTCGTAAAAGGCAAGCAGATTGCACATGGGATTGTGAATTGAAGATCAATGAACGTCAGTGATGGGGGTGACTTCCGCATCCTAGACTCTAGAACTCTCAACATATGGCTTCCTTTTCACCCTCCCCTGCCTTTCTCTTTGATCTGCCCCCTGTTCAGTCCCTTGTTTCTCATCAAATTCTTACTTTTATTACTTTTTTCTGATTCATCTGCTTGTGCCTTAGGCACCCAAGGACCTAACTTTATCCAAAAGATCAGGTCTCAGATGTGAAGCTTTTACTTATTGAACTGTTCTTAGAACTGAGTGTACCAGGCCATGGTCACTTGTGGGTTATGTTTTGGAGGAACTCGGAAGGATCTTGTATTGGTCAAAACTCTTTGTGAGGGC